CTCCACTGACCACATGCACACACCTGCCAAAATCAACTTCGGTTAATTTCATTTTCTAAATCTCTGTAGAACCCCATTCATTCCTCTAAGCTGCTGCAATACTTCCTGCCTAAGACGGGTATTTCTGCCGTTGGCTCATTGATTCATTCTCCTAACAGCCTCTATGCTCTTTCTAAAACACATATTCATGTCTCACTGAAAGCATTTCAGCATCTCTCCTTTTCCTGTGGTATAATGTCAAGCTTCTCTCATGAAACTTAGAAGAACTATAATCTGGTCTCTCCTTTTCTGTAGCCCTTTATGGTCTCTGCACTCCCACAGCTGTTTTGAGTTGCCCAAATGTACCGTGTTTTTCATATCCCAGGATTTGCCAAGCTTTCCTTGAGCCTGGAACAGACAGGTGCTGAAGACACAGTTGGGTGAACACTTGACTATGAAAGACATCCGTAGTTGCTGGTACTTCTGGTTTAAAACAAGCCCACAAGTCAATAAATAAATAAACAAATCATCTAATTTATTTGTTGTTCCTACCCAGGAATACATAAATTAATATTATATAAACAATGTTTTCATAAGTCGGCTCTGTCATTTCTGCAGCAAGAGACTTTATCTTAATTCTGTTAGTGTAATTCAATCTTGCTTCCTTTTTTTATTAAGCTGCATTTATTTTACAGAGGGTTTTATGGCCCTCTAAATATATGCTTGCTATTCTCTTTGCAAATTATATTTTCCAAATATCTACTCTTCCTAGAACTATTTTTCTATTAGAATCCAGCTATTACTTTTCCAAGAATGGCAGTGTAAAGCTCAATTATGTGTTCATAGTAGAGAAACCCTAGAGATTTTGGGTTTATGTCTCCCCAGATCCCTGTTCCATAATAACATAGCATTCTTATTTCAACCAAACCTCGGGGCTTTTGCCTATTGTCCAAAAATAGGTGTGCACACTTTGTTTGAATCAGTAAAATATGCCAGCATTGTCCAACCACAGTCTCTTGGCCACTCAGAAAAATGCTGAGCTCTTGCTGAAGCCCATGGCTATTCTATCACGGGAGCTTGTGGTCTCTTTCCAAAATGCAGTCACCTGCCTTTGATAAATAGTCAAACCGCCAAGACTGAAACTTCTTTTTTAATTAGCATTTTTAGCTTTAATTATATAATTCATTGGAAAAATCATCATATATGCTTGTATCAAAGCACTTCATGTAAAACTGGCCCAAGTTCACTTAAGCAAAACAAGAATTTTTCAAAAGGATGCAGTACTCAGTGGTCTGAGCATCATCAGGAAGACCAGAACCAAGTTAGCTCATGCAATTTCCCCAAGGGGAAAAGGGTGCACTCTCCAAAAGGTGTACTCTTCCTTTGAATTTACAATTTCATATGGATTTATGCATTGACTTCTTCTTTGAAGTTACTCTTACCCATAGGTCAAGGTGCTAATGCAGGAATTCTGCAGGATTCTAAGCACATGTATTCCAATTACACCCTAAGGAACCAGTATCACCCTATACTTTACTGCCAGGCTTACTATGGGATAGGCATGGCTAAAAATTTCATTTATTCCATGACCAAATAAATCCTTACCCTTTGACTAGGGGCCTCCAGTGACATTCTGGGCTCCAAGCAACTTCAAATAATCCCAAGGCCAGAAACTTGGGGGTCCTAATATTCTCACTGAAACCAAGGAGTCATTTCAAATGCAACACCATTGACCTGCGCCATCAGCCTTCAGAGAGCATCTATTGAGGTTGCTAAGACGGAATATGTAAAGAAAAAGGAAAAAAACTCTAGAACAGTAGGCCTATGTACTGCCTACTGTCACAGATCCTAGAGGATTCTCTGCAGGTCCTGCTTCCTTAAGGCACCAGTTTGTAGTTAACAGCGTAGGTTAGTGTGCTATGTAATCTTACCTGCTTTCCAACTTCAAGCAAGACAAGCAGCCAGAGTCTCCTATGGTCAGCTTCTGTAGGGCAGGGAAGCAGCTCACTGTGCCATAAGGTGTCATAGGCAGGAAGTTCCCCAAATGTACAAATCCATTTCTGAACTTGAGCATGGGAAATAATGACAAATGCCTACTGCAGTATTTCTAGACTAGTCTTTGTTAAAATATTTTGGGATGAGGATGCCCTCAGCACTTGTGATTTGCTTGCACTGATTTTTGCATCTTGCTCTCTGATGAGATGTGAGTTGATTTTCCAGTGATACCACAACCCATCAAATCTAGCTGCCATCAGTTGTGTCATTTTATTATTTATATACAAGTACTGGTAAAGAAATGCTGCCAATTGACCTATGACTTGTTAAAGGATAGGTTTCCCAAGTACAAAGAACAAAATGATCATGTAAATTTTAAGTAAGCACATGTTGAAGAGTTCATTCAATTTATTAATTAATGAGGCAACAAATATGTTAAAGCCAATCTAAAGTGTACTTAAGAGGCAATGTAATGGATTGCTGGGCTGAATTTAAATAAAACACAATACTTGTTAAGTCAGACAAGGCTACAGACATAATCATTAAGCTTCTCCATGTCACAGGACAAAAATTACTTGCGTTTCTCTAGGACCTAAATCTGCAAACTAGACTCTTCCCTACAAAATTGTAAATTAGACAACTAAATAGAAAATCAAAGCTGGCACAGCGTCTAATCATCTCATCATCTCTTTGTCTATTTCTAAGTCTGAAATATTCTTGACAGTTTCAAAGCTTTTAAACCATTTAGAGTTATATTGGAGTTTAGAATAGAGTTTTATCATGTATTAGTCTTATACATATATAAAAAAGACTATGCTAATAAATTGGAGAGTTTTATGTGTTTGCATTCAAAGCCAAACTCTTATAATTCATTTTTCAATTCAGAGTCATGGAAATTTATATTTTTTTCCATGTAGTATTGTTCTCTATTCTGTCAGATTATGGCAACATAGTATTTCTTTTAAGCATTTCTCTCTTTTCTCAGGAATTTTCTTCTGGAACATGACACTCATTCTATAATTTTTGATAGTAAAGTATTTTCAATATTCTTGAAGCGTCAATATAATATTACAAAGCAAAATTAACAACCATAGTTATACCTCAGAGGGCCTTTAAATATATGTCCTTTGTGAAAGTTTATTCTTTTAATGATTAAGTTCTTGAACCCTCAGTCAGTGATAACCACACCAGTGCTGCTTCCTTACTGAGAGAGAGGGTAAGATATCTTTAATTGTTAAGACACATTCTAATTTCAGAGATGCTATAATGTAAGATATACAAATTAGAATTGATGAAAGACAGACAACTTTAGCTAGACCTACGGATATATAGAGACGTAACTATGTTATGTTTGGAATTTGTATTGTGACTGGACTTTTTATACTTTCATATGAATATACTTTTATTATATATATTATATATATTTTTAGTAAAAGATCACTTCTTTCCCTGGATTTTAGCAGGACAGTAGCTACCCAGCTACTTTTAAATTTTCTAACATTCCTTACTGAAAGGGACAACCATGTGATTAATTTTGGCCAGGGAATAAAAGCAGAACAGCTGTTTACAAGTTTCCTATCTCATTTTCAAAGAAAGCTTTTCCCCTCTGCTTATTGTCTTGGCTTATTCAGTGAGCCTGCATGAGCACACGGTGCCAGGAAATCAGGCCGACTCATGGAAATGAAGTCACCCTTCACCATTTAAAAACAAACAAGACAACAAAGAAAAAGAAGGAACAAAGTCATCGGATGACTCCACAGGGCAGAGATTTTTACCTGCCTTGTCACACGGGAGAGTCATACATTATTTGCATTGTTCCTTTGGGAGGGTATCTTTGCTATACTTGCCTTGTCCACTTACCCATATGCTACACTGATGCTCTGAGTCCTAGATATTCTGCAGTTTTTCCAGAATAGTTGGAGCTATCTTTATAACTCAGGGGAACAGACTAGTTAATTCTAAAATAAAGCAGATCTGAAAATTTCTAATAATTAAAACTCCATAAAACTGAAGCTTTTATGGTTTAAGTAGGGAATGTCCCTCAACAAGGACTCATATATTAAGGCTTGATATCCAATGCAGCAATGTTCAGAGGTGCATTCTAGACATGTGATTGAGTCACAAGAACGTCAGTGTCATTAGTAGATTACACCAATGAGATAATAATTTGATGCTGTTACTGGGAAGTGATGGGAAGAGGAGGCGGGGCCTAGTTAAAGGGAGTGACTCATGGGATGTGATATTAGGAACTATGTCTGGTCCCTCATCCCTCTCTTTCTAGTTTTTTAACCTCTTTTTGCCTCCTGGATGCCATGAAATGAGCAACTTTCCTCCACTGCTACGCCTTGGTGTCAATCAGCCAAAGACTAAAATCTCTGATACCATGAACCAAAATAAACGTTTCTTTCTTTAAATGGATTCATGTCACTATTTTGTCATAGTCCCAAAAAACTAACACAGAAACTGAGTCATCTTAAACTCTGTATCATTTTAACTAAACCTGAATATTCCTTAAGCCCACAAGATGCTACTGCTGAAAAAACAATTGGGATTTTTTTAAGTGTGTGTGTGGTTTTTTTTAAACATTTTGTCCTCTGTTTCAACACATGAATGGGTACACGTCAAATAACAGGAACCCTAGAAAGAGATTATCACAATCTTATTCCTCAATGATCAGTTCTTAGTCTATAACAGTGCTCTGGATTTATACCTCATGCTATGGTTGATACACTGTGACAACTTGAGAAGTCTAAAAACTAACTAAGTGATTCAGCAGCTCTACATCCTGAGGTACAGAGAACAAGCAGTGACCCTGGAGGATGTTGTTCATTGTGTCACTTGGAGAAGGTTGGAACTTTAAGTGAGTCAGCAGGAGGCCAAGGTCTCTAGTTTGTAACATCCTCAGCTTAAGCAAGAGGTGTGAGTAAGCAGATGGTGTGAGTATGACACCCACCCCAGGGGAGCAGCCTGCATACAATAAAAGGCCAAGTGAGAGGGACGGATGGCTGCTTCAGAGGGCTCCAGTCTTCACCTTCAGCTTGGACATCATCTCCTGGCTTCTGGCACAGACTGTTTGGCTTCTGCCTGGGACTCTTCAGCGTTCAGCATAGACTCTTCAACCTTCCATCATAAAGTCTTCAGTGTTCCATCATAGACCCATCAGCCTCCTGATACAGACTTGCATGGGACACTGCAGTAAGCTCCAGCCCTTGTGCTGGACCCTTCAACCTCCAGTGTGTAGACATCCTTTGCACGATCCCTTATTCAACTTGTGGCTGACCACTGTAAGCCAATCTTGTAATTTCTTATATGGTTGTATATATTGTGCTGTATCTGTTTCTCTAGTTCCCTGACTGATGCAACTCACCGTAATGCAGCAATTCTATCTTGTCCATTTTACCCCAACAAGTAGACTGAGGTTTAATTTTATTTTTTGCACTTGACTTGGTATTGTTAGAATTTATAGCTAAAATGTCCTTCAAAGGTCTTACGTGTTCAAAGAAAGAGATTTGAAAGGTGATGCACCATCGAGGCACTATACAGATCAGTGGATTAATCCACCAGTGAGTATAGTTGAATGTGCTGTTAGGATGTAGCGCCTGGTTGAATGATGGTCACTGGAGACATGACAGGGGAAAGTGTATTCCTTCTATTTGATTCCTTACTTCTCTCTACCTTCCTTGCTGACACGGGGTGAGCAGCTGTCTTCTGACATCCCTTCCTAGCCTCTCATTTCTGCTTGAGAGTCAACCAACCTTGAACTGAACCTTCTCAAAACTGTCAGCCACAATAAGCCTCTCTTCCTTTAAGTTATGGGTTTTAGGTATTGCGTCTAGTGACAAGGAACCTAGCTAATACATAACACATAAAGGGGGTCATTTCTGTGACTGTACCTAGCCAGGCAGTTAAGAAGACTTTGGAACCTGTTTTCTAAGATTTGGAAATAACATGCTAAAGAAATCCTACAATGCTGTAACAATTTGATAAGTGATTCTGGTTGAAGTTCAGATAACCAGAATGCTAATAGGAATGCAGACAGAAAAGGCCAGGATCAAGAAATTTCAACTGGAAACAAGGACATCATTCGTATGTATGCTAATTTCTGGCATAAAATTTGTCTACACATTTGCCCATGTCCTGAGATTTTTGTAAGAGACTGAGATTAAAGACAGTGGACTAATTAATCTGGTGGTGGAAATTTCAAGGCTGCTCAATGTTCATGCTATGCCTGGGTATTAATGACTATTTTTAGCCAAATCTACATGAAAATCAGGATAAAAAAAAAAGCAGAACTGAATGATTTTAAAAGTTTGTAGTTTCACCAGAAAGATGGAACCTACAAAATTGGGACCCAGGAAAATATGGTTGTTGAAAAGCTTAGCATTAAAAAGGAACCAAGTACTTTGTATCTCTATAATAGGAAATACGATTTTTTTACATTTTATTTTGAAGATAGTAAAATAAAACAAAATAAGACAAAACAACGCCAATCAAGACAATGCAGTGAAATTGGTACAGAACTTCAGAGCAGTATACCAGGATAACAATAAAGGCTCCCACACTATATCTTGTTATTTTCACAATAGTTGTCCATTCAAAATCAATTATAGCAAAATCAAACCAAAAACAGAACCCTATAAAACCAATCTGAAGTAGGTTCGTTAACAGTATAGGAAGCAAAGCAGCAAACTGATAAATTTGGAATTTAATTAGCTGAGCTCAGTGACCACTCTCGTGGACTCCTGTTGTAGAGTCCCACTGAGTGGCTCTGAACTGGAAAGTTACACAGCTTTCAAAACAGACAACCACAGAGAGACACCCTATTGGAAACAATTTAGCTAGAATCTTACATTAGTTTTTGGTTGACATCTGTATCCTGCTTCTTTGTTGAGCAGGTTAATTTTTCTTTTTGTGAGTACAGTTCATTCTGTTTTCCTCATGGGATTGTACTCTGAGTAATTTTCCATTCTCCTGGGTCAAATACAGGGCACTATTAAATGCAGGGCTCAAGATGGCATCAGTTATGCCAAGCTAGAACACAATCAAACCAGAATATTGAATAGAGCAAACGATTAATCAGAACAAAGCAAAACAGTGAAAACAATATTGGTCTTCAAAGACAAGATAGAATGCAATCCCTCATATTTGCTCTGTTGCATACTGTCATCCTCCCAAGAGATACTCAGACCTCTGGCCCCAGATCAGCATGAAAGTTTGATTTATTTCACTTATAAGTATGGTCTCTAGTTGCATCCGTTTACCTATAAAAACCTCAAGCTTATTCTTATTTATAGCTGACTAGTTCTCCATTATATAAAAAATCACATCTCTTTTATCCATTCCTTGGTTGATGGGCATCTGAGTTGTTTCCAAGATTTAGCCATTACAAGTTGTGCTGCTCTAAACATGGGTGCATGTACATCAATGTGGTATGACATTTTTTATCATTCTGAGAAAAGACCCAGGAGGAGAATAGCTGAGTCAAATGGATTTCTAATCCTAGTTTGTTGGGAATCTCCACACTGATTTCCACAATGGCTGTACCAGTGCACAATCCCACCAACAGTGGAGAAGGGTTCCTTTCCCCAGCCCCTCCAACATTTGTTAATAGTTGATTTCTTGATGATAGCCATTCTTTCTGCATTCATTCTGATGGAATCTCGGTGTTTTTTTAATTTGTATTTCTCAGATAACAAAGAATATCGAACATTTTTCATATATTTAGTTGCCATTTATATTTCTTCATCTGAGAAGGGTGTATTCATCTCAGATGCCCATTTTGCACTGGGTCTTTGAATTTGGGTGCATCTGATTTTTTTCAATTCTATATGTTCTGGATATAAGTCCTTTGTCTGAGGGACAGTTGGTTAAAATGTTTTCCCACTCTGTGGGTTTTCTTTTCATTCTGTTGGTGATTTCTTTTGATGTGTAGAAACTTTTTAATAAGATGAGATCTCAGTTGTTGATTCTTTGAAATACTTCCCATGCAGTGTGATTTTTATTGATAAGCTCTGCATACCCCTATGTTTTCTAGATTTCTTCCTACTTTTTCTTCTAGTAAATTTAGTGTTTTGGTTTTAATATTTAGATTTTTTCATCCATTTTGACTTTAGCTAGTGCATGGTGATAAATATGGGTCTAGTTTTAGTCTTTGTGGAAAGCCAGTTTTTCCAGCACCATTTATTTAAGAGGCTGTCTCTCTTGCCACGGACATGTTTGGCCTCTGTCATAGATAAGGTGGCTGAGTGTGTTTGGAGTTATATCTGCATCTTGTAATCTGTTCCATTAGTCCTCAGGTCTGGTTTTTTTGCCCATAATATGATGATTTTATCACAACAGCCTTGTAGTATAATTTCAAGGCAAGAATTGTGATGCCTCTTGCCTTACCTTTGTTGCCCAGGATTGCCTTTGCTAATCTAGGTCTCGTCTGTATCCAAATAATTTTAGGAATGTTTTCTCTAAATCTATGAGGTATGCTAATTGCTATTTTGATTGAAATTGCATTAAATCTTTGTAACAATTTTGGGAGTATAGCCATTTTCACAGTGTTGGTTCTTCCTATCCATGTGCAAGAAATATCTTGCCATTTTTTAGATATCCTCTTTGATCTTTTTTTTCAGAGTACAGTAATTTTCAATATATAGATCTTTTATTTCCTTTGTTGGATTGATTCCTAAGTATTTCATTTATTTTGGATGCCATTATGAAGGGTGTGGTTTCCCTAAATTCTCTCTCAGTGAGTTCATTGTTTGTGTACAGGAAGGGTATTGATTTTTGAGTATTGACTTTGTATCCAGTTACTTTACTGGATTTGGTTATTAATTCTAGAAGACTTTTGATGGAATTTTGGGAGACTTCTATATAAAGTATCATGTTATCTGTGAAAAATGATAATTTCACTTCTTCTTTTCCTATCCTTATTCTTTTTCTCTCTCTCTTGTCTAATTGCTCTGGCTAATATTTCCAGAACTATACTGAATAAGAATGGTGATACCAGTCATCTCTGATTTGTTCCTGTTTTAAAGTGAAAGGTTTCCATTTTGTCCATATAGAATGATGTTGGTTGTTGGTTTGTTATGGATGGCTTTTATCAGCTTGAGATAAAGACTATCTAATCCAATTTTCTGTAGTGCATTTATCATGAATGACTGCTGGACTTCATTAAAAGCTTTTTCTGTATGTATTGAGATGATTATGTGATTTTTGTCCTTGGCTCTGTCAATATGGTATATTATATTTATTGATTTGCATATGGTGAACCATATGCTGCATTCCCGGAATGAATCCCACTTGGTTATGATATATAATCTTCTTGATGATTTGATGCATTCTGATTGCTTGTATTTTATGGAGGATGTTTGTACCTATGTTCATCTGGGAGATTGGCCAGTAGTCCTCTTTTATGAGGGTTTTCTCCGATTTTTGTAATAGAGTAATACTTGTCTCCAGGAATGAGTTAGGGAAAACTTCTTCCCTTTCAATTTCATTTAAGAATTTGAGGGGTATTGGCATTAAATGTTCTCTAAATTTCTTTTGTAGTTTAGCTATGAATCCATCAGGACCTGGGATTTTCTTTGTGGGTAAGCTTTTTGTTTAAATTTTATTTAAAGAGGAAAAAAAAGGCAAAACAGAAAAAGGGTGTAAATAATACAGAATTTCAAAAAAAAACCAGTAAGAAATCACTAGTTGATAAATTACATATTGCCCTCTTAGAAATAGTTGTTCAAGTTACAAAATTAAAGCATACAAAGTGAACATTCAAACAGTGAGACTGCAAACAGTTCTGTTCAACAATCCAACAAAAACTTAGTAATATGGTTATCAAGCCTACACAGTTAAATATACATGCAGTTACATCCTTTAGAGCACTTTCCTTTCCTCTCTTTTTTATGTGGGTAAGCTTTTTATTACATTTTGAACTTCATTAACTGATATTGTTATTCAGGATTTTTATATCTTTTTGATTCAGCTTTGGTAGTTCATACATTTCTAGGAATCTGTCCATTTCTTCTGTGTTTTCCAACCTCTGCGAGTAAATATTTTCAAAGTATGTATTGATGATCATCTGAATTTCCACAGGGTCTGTAGTGATTTCACTCTTTTTATTGCTTATTACATGGATTTGGCCTTTTACTGTCCTTTTTTGAGAAGGTTGGCTATGGGGTTATCAGTGTTGTTTATTCTTTCAAAGAACCAACTCTCTGATTAATTGTTTGTATTGTTTTCTTAGTTTCAATTATATTAATTTCTAACCTTTATAATTTCCTCCTTTGTATGGGCTTTG